CACTTGTAAACTACACAAGCATTTGTAAATGTGGTTGACTTTGAACTGGTTAATGTAGAAAGAACTAAGCCATTATGAATGACTAGAAAAAAGGAAATGTAGATGGCCGATGATAACGAGTGAGTTCGTGCACGAAAACAGTTGATACGGTTGTCCTCACAGGTGGACACTAGCTGCTTACTTGACTTCATGAGTTTTATTTCGCTTTCTGTTGGAATAAATCTTCGCAATAAATCAAAATCCTGTTCGAGTACAGACTCATTCGATAAACGATGCTTATTGATAGAAATCTTTCCTGATTTAACATAGTCAATAAATGGAACTAGTTCCGATGATGAACAATGATGAATTGATGCATAATAAGCTTTTGTGAATAGCTGAAGATTGATTGACAATTCTGTACCAATTCTTTTCGTTCCATGAACTGATGAGGATAAACAACCTACTCGTAAATATAAAAGAAATAGAAACTGCTGAGAAAATTTCGTTTCGCAGATATTCGTACCAATGACACTTTCATAATTAAAGGTACTGTAGTTCGACAAAGGACCAAAATCTTTTGCTGTTGTCGCGAAATGCTTCACACAGTGAACTGTCTGAACGATGTAGCGTTCATTGTAAGGAAACTCATCTACGAAGCTAGCCAATAATAGATCCATTTCTTCCAGCTTTTCAGGTGAAATTTCTGATGATTCTCCAATGGTAATGCCGAATACTAATTTCTGCAGATGTTGATAATATTTATCAGGCAAGTAATTCTTAAATATCGGATATCCGATCAATAGTAAAACTCTACACTCGTTTGCTTTCAGCTTCAAAAACTTGGCAATCGTTCTTGGTACTCGAACTGTTGTTGCCGGATAGAGTGTCTTGGAAAGATCGTCAACGATCGATGGTAAAGCTTTTACCAAACACCACGACTCTTTCTTTGAAGTTTCAGTCCATATGAAAAGTAACCTTTTCTAAATTGATCAGAGAACAAAAGGTATTCTTTAGCATCATCGATCTTCTCAATATGATACATACAAACGCTCCATGATAGACTGAATGTAAAGTATCGCTCATAAAAGTAGTGCCACGATCCACAAAAGCTAACTCGGATAATTCACATTCCCCTAGATAACCATACGTATGTAACTTGCGATCATTCGTGTAAAAACGAACACCATTTTGTTCAGCATGACTTATATCACACCATCGAGCATTCGATCGAATTTCTGGTTGCCGACCTTTCGAAGTGGGAAAGATTCGAACGTAAGTCGTCGAAATTTTCGCAGATTGATTCGGTGTTGCACAGAGCTTTGCTGCAACTGTTTTTCCTGAAATCGAATCGATACAAGATAGGTAGTCTCGCAGTACGAAATACAAAGAATATTAATTACCAGGAATTTCACATTTAGAACATCCATAGAGAGCATTTGGTTCAGGTTGATTTTGTACTAAACTGTTAGCAGGTTTATCGTTGCTAACACCAATCAAATAAACTCGCAACATTTGATATGAATAATCAGATATTTGGTATAATCTTGGCTGCTCTAGTTTATGTAAACTAGATACAATTGGTTTCAGCATCTTTTGCATGATTTTCCGGGAAGGTTTCTTTCGACCAACACTAACTGCAAAAACTAAAAAAAACTGATCTAATGATAGTTTTTATACTTTCAAAAGTATACCTATGATTTTGTCCATGTCGAAACGAATCGATCGATTAAGTTCGTTCAAACATGCTGTAAATGCCCACATACTTTGTTCACTACTTGTGTACACAGCTGCACCATCAATATTGCATGTTAAAGATATAAAACGTTTTTGAGATTCTTCTTCAAGTGAGCGCAAAACATTTTTGTAAACTTGTCCATGATGTATGTCACACATTGATGCAGGAAAATCTCGTGACATCTGTATAGACAAATCCAAATCAGTTCCATTAATTGACTTTAGCACTTGTTCAATTTGTTGTTGAATATCAAATACCATGAAAGTGTGTGGAGGAAGCAATGAGTTGAAATACGATAAACAATGTTCATTGGTACATTTGTTCGAATCAGCTGATTCCTGTTCACACTCAGGACAAAAAAATAACGTTGATTCTATCATTTCTTTCTGCTCATGATTGACTTCTTCTGATCGTTTGATTAATGATTTAAGTTTAAACCAAGTTGATGGAATACGTGGAACTTTCAATACTGTGAATAATTTTAAAATATCGTCGATTAAACTATTTGTGCATTTGTGTTTTCTTTTTACCAATATTAATGCAACTGCAACATCCTGAAATCGAACGTACAATTTGAATTCCATGTTCACAGTTCTTTTACTTACTAACTCATCATAATCACGAATTGGCGTTGACGAAGTATCCGTGGTAATAAATTCATCGGCGAATTTCATTTGTTCTTCTGTTAGATCATCTTCGAATTTCATTTGTTCTTCTGTTAGATCATCTTCGAATTCGTCGTTATGATCTTCTTCTTTCTCTTCATCTTCGTTTAAGACAAAATTTTCTGAAATATTGCAAAAAGCATCGTCACCGTCCTCCGTCTCGTCAACGTGTCCGTTTGGAAAGCCATTGATAATGCCATCATTATGTAACATATCGATTCCATCGTCTGATGATACGCTTACAGATGAATTAGTCGGTAAATCATCAGCTGTTGAACTTCTTGTATTATGGTTATTGAAATTGAGAATTTGAGATTGATCAAGTTGAGTATTTCGTAAGGCTCTTTTGGCTATAATTTCATACTTATGCGCTGACCAATGACCACGATTTTTTCGTTTCACGGCTTCTTTTTTCTTGAATGGTGTTGCTTTTGGTCTCATTGAAATCTGAAATACTAGAAAAAAAAATCTTTCAAAATAAGAAATCAATGTTATGTTGAACTTGATCTCGATGCATATTCATTGGATTTAAAGAACGCAACGTGAGTGAGTACGTTTTTTTTTGTTTTGAAAGCGCAGACTCATGATCAGTAATGGGATACTCAACCTCAATTAGTTATCTACGACAGGGCTTTTCAAAACAGTTTCGATATGATGTCAGATCTGTCAGTCAAAAAACAACAAAAATATGATGATAAACATAGCTAAATTGTGGTTTATTTTCGATCAATCAGAACTTTTTCCTCAAGGAAAAAGTACAAACAAATACTACACTATAACATACGTTTGAAGAAAAAAGAAAGATTGCAACCTAAATAGACCTAGAAGATATATCAATAAAATATCTTTGAAATGAAAGAATCAACTGAATCACATGTCTTTTATCAATTATCAAGAACATCGTCGATCTGGTTGTCATCATCGACAAAATCAATTTCGTTCGGATAACTTGCGGTTTGATCGATGTTGAGAGCCGCTTGAACTCGTTGTTTGACGCTCTTCTGTTTTCCACGATCGTTTCGAAGGCAACCAACGATACTAATATGTACTTTTTTCTCGTCAACGTCAAGTGGACCGAAATAATTTTTCATAAAGTCTAAACATGATGTTTTCAATCAACGTGTCAAATCGATGTGAGAAGAATTTTTATTATACGTACGGATTAACATTTTTTCCTTACATAGCACATCATCTTGCAATTCATTCCAACAAGAAACATTTCGCTTTTCGACCGGAACGATTTCCTTGAATATATTTCTTGCAATGCTTGAAATTGACGTTTTGGACGTCAAAAACTCGGTGAGTTTCATAACATTAATTCCCAATCGTTGAGCATCTTTTGACAAATTGCCTGAATATTTATACTCCGTTGTACTCTCTCGGATTTTATCCCCCATGTGGCAAATAAAATCTCGAGTGATTTGGTCAGTTGGCAAAGCTAAAAAGACTTAGATGAAAATCTCTAACGATAATGAAGAAAGCATACTTATTGTTGTCGAACGTAATCGTTTGATTTCATTATCACGTTGTTGAACTATCAGTTTCAATTGATGTATTTGAGCATTGAGTTGATTGATTTTGTCGATAAAAAACTCGTTCTCGTTATCTTCGTCGATGCTAATGGATGCATCAAAAGTGTTGGAGATTGTCGGCTGAGACTTTTGCTTCTCACTAGCATCTGTGTTCGGCGAAAATGAAAATTCACGTGAACCGTTTCGTGCTTCGTTACTAATAGTTTCAGCACGTTCCTGATGCTCGACTGGATCAGCTAATTTGTCACGAGATTCAATCAGATGTTTATTTCCAGTTGTAGATGTAAGCATTGTTGTTTTTCGTACTGATTCAACTCGTGGTAATGATGGCTTCTTTGAAAATTTCTGTAACGGCGTCGATCGAACAACCGTTTGCGATGTTAATGGCGTTGTCGAACGTGAGGATCCAGAATTTCCGCTGGATTTCTGTGCTTGTTTTGTCATGGTATCCATAATTTCTTTTCGAGCATTGGCACAACTGTCACGATCTACATCTGTTGTTTCAAGAAAAGTGCATGAATGTTCTGTATAAGAAAACAACTCTTTTCATTACATACGCATGTAAACAATGACACCTTCGATGTTGTTCCGTTGTTCATCTCGAATAATTATTTTTTGGTTTAATGTTAATCGCCCATTTCGAAGCGTTGGTGGTAAATCTTCTCGTGAAACAATCAATAGTTCACTATTTACCTTCTTCTTCAATAAGATAAACACATTCAGTTGTCCTGTACTATCATGGTTCCCGATTACTTTTGAGAGTAGTGGGGGCTAAATTTTGCCAGAAAGTCTTTCTGTCAATGCTTGATAATAATAACGATGGGTTCTTATTTCAAATGATAATATCTAAGTGAAGCTTCATTTCAAAAAAAGAAAAACTACAAATGAATACGTCAATGGCAATATGAAAGCTAATGTGTAACATAAAATAAAAAGAAACTTTATAAACGACTCAAACGCTTCAGATTTTCGTCAAAAACGTCCCACATCATCGTCCCCATCACCTTGAAATTGATCATCCTTCAAAAACAACGTTATGTTGCGCGATTTTGCGCGACCAGGATTTCTCACGAAATCTTGTACAATGCAATTAATAATATCTTCTGTTAATTCCATCTTAAGACTCGACAATTTCACTAATATTTCAATAGTACTATCAGATAATCGATTTCGTAACCAGCTTTTAATTCTTCGCAATGTGCTGAATGTTCTTTCTGCTTCATTTGAACCAATTGCAAATGTTCCCAATATCTGATAGAACCGAAACCATTCAGGACATTGTTCACTACCAAATTTTGCTAATTGTGATAAAATTGCTGGAATTGTTGAAATACCTTCAACGATTTTTGAAAATGCATACACATCATCTTTTAAAGATTTGAAATTCAATAAAGGACGATCGGTACGTTCATATGTTTTACCATCCACACCTTTATGTTTGTGGTTAGCTGGAGATGTGTATTTTTGTATTAAAGAATTATTTAATAATTCCTCGGTTGATCGACTTGATGGAGAAGAAAACACACACAAGTTTTGAACTATTTCCTTTGCTGCTGTGTCGAATCGATCGTCCAATGAGTTTAAAATATGGTTAATAAAACAATCTCCCATTTTACGTAGTTCATTTTCATCAAAATCGTTATGCATCATATTTCGTAAACGCGTTGAGTGCGATGGTAATGTGAATGTTGGAGCAAAATCTTTAATACTGTTTAATGTTGCTCGAAAATTGATAAAATCAAAATTATTCATTGCTTGTGAAATTGATTCTCGTGCAGCACTAACATTCAAACTAAACTGATCTAAACACAAACCACGCTTTTCAATTTGTCTTAAAAATTGCATAGCCGGACGAAGAACATCACGTAGTAAAAATATTTGGAAAGCAACAACTGGGTTCATTAAATCAGATGCATAACGACGTCCATCGGAAGATCCATTGGTTTGCGATTGAGATATGGTTGAAAAGGTTAAAATAATTGCTGAATAATGTTGGCAAGCAAATTTAACAATCTCGTATGAATAAGACCATCGAGTAACACTTGGTTTAGGTATACTCTGCCCTTAAAAATCGAACAAATAATATCAATCATTGCCTTCGAAAAGATAAATCCATACCTTTTTTACTCGAATCAACTACTTTTTGACTGTTAATAAGAATTTGAAGTCTATGAGGACTATCACGTAAAAAGACTAGTGCTGATTTAATAGTATCATATGAATCATAAAAAGAATATTCAATAGAATCTTTAACACTAAGATTAAGTAAATGAGAATGACAATATACATAAATTGCCCATGCAGATAATCGACCTCGAACATGACCTTGAGCTTGAAAACGCATAGCAGCTGCACCATCATATGTCTGAGCAGTAATAATAAGTTCTTTACCCACTTGTTTCTGTAAGTTATTGATGAATTCTTCTACCACACGAAAAATACCTATGCAAAATTATAAAAACAATTCAATCATAAACTACATAACAAATTTAATCTACCTTCACCGCTAACATCATGAATAGGTTCTAGTTTAAAAATTTCTTCTTTGATTACCCCACGATCTTGCTCCACATATCTCAAACAAATACATATCATTTGTTTGACTGATATATCTTTGGTTTCGTCAATAATTAAATTAATAAAATCTGTTTTTTTGAGTGAAGATATTTGTTGATGATTAATGTAGTTACTGATACTAATTAGCCATTCAGATGTAGCTTCATGGCTCCAATATCTATACAGAAATATGAAAAATAAGTGCGATATCATTTTATCATTATTAAGTTTACCGTTGTTTCACATTAGATAAATTAAACCATTCCAATATAGCAGGACATTCGAGCTTGTGAATTAGTTCTATGAAAGACTTAAACTTGGCAAGTGCAATCTCTTCGTTTACCAACAACCAAAAGATTTGAAGGAGAGCACTCAAATATTTTTTTGTTTGGTTTTCTAAATTGACACAACTTAATTGACCAATGATATTTCCATTAAGATTCACAATATCAGCTCCCATTCGTCGTGATCGACTTTCTCGATGTAAATCACTAATATCATGTTTTTTTATGCCTGTGAATCAAATCTTCAACTTATATTGTTTTTCGTTTAAATAATTTATTCAAACCTTCTAATCCTTTGTGTTTCAATTTCCAGTATGGTCTCACAACAAATGCTCCATTATTTCTCTGAATCAATGTTTCATCTCTTGCAAATTCAAGACAATCAATACATAATAATCCATATCTATTGCCACTGAATACAGCTCGAAGCCATGGATAGTTTTTGGTAAACCAATGACGACTTGGTTTAACACGTTCTTGTTTATCTTCAGTGAACCATTGTACATGCGGATATCGTTTTAATTGAGCATCAACAAATGTTATTTCTTGAGTTGTAATAAATTTCAAACCTTCGATATGTTTGAACTCAATCAACGAACGAGCTGAAGTTATTTTTTCCTTGTTTTGCATTGAGAGTGAGGTCAAAATAACTTCATTTTCGGATAAATTTTCATCATCAGATATCGTTTCAGAATCTGATTCATTATTTGATTGATTTACTCGACTAAAATCCTGTGGTAATTCATCCGGAAAACCTAATGTACAAATTCAGTACAGTGTATTATCAAATACTATTCTCTTACCCTGTGCGCAAGATAAAATTTCGCGAACAGGTGGTGTTGAAACACATGGATCAGTCAATTCATGATATGAGAAGTTGTCTATAAAGAAAAATATCATTGTTTTCTTTTATTTATGGAATAAATACAACAGAATATCGTACCGTCGTCAACGATGTTTGGTGAAAGACAGGAACTAGTTAAGGAAGACTCAGTAGTAGGATTTGTTGAATTAATTGATGCATTTTGGATATCTAATTCCATTGATTGAAGTTGATTTGCTTGATTATCGGAATAAATTATTTGTGAATTTGAATCAACTGTTTTTGTTAATGCAAATTTTTTCAACGAAAATAAATTGTTAGTTGGTATGGGAGAAGGTTTATCAGTTATTGTGATCGCATCTGTTGTTGTTGTTTTTGTTGCATTAGTTAATCGTGATTTTTCGACATTCCTTTTCATCTCATTATATTTCTCATCAATCATTGAGGACAACATAGTATGCATCTGTCGACAATGGTCTTTCCAATTTTTAAGCATCATTGATTTTGAGCATGAGGGGCAACGTATAGTACAGCTGGTTGTATAGACTGTTTTCGACGCCATATTAAGAAATTTATGATAACAAGCGTATATCTACTTAGTTCTTATTAAAAAATCTCGGATTTATATAAGAGTGAGAAGAAAATGTTTTCTAGAACATGACATCATATGATAAAATATGTTGTTATGCATGAACACATGATTACATGACGTCATGTATATATGTGTGATCAGAACGAAAGAAGTTATATGTAGTGACGTCATGTAGACAGGACAGGTGTAAATAACTTTTTGAAAGAGATGGTAAAGAAAAATTATAGACTTTCTGCCAGAAATAATGAGAAAAAACTATAGAGATTTTGGCAGAAATAGTAAAGAAAAGTCATAGACTTTCTGCCAGGAATAACGAAAAGAAATCACAGATTTTCCGCCAAAAATAGCGAGAAGGAATCGTAGACTTTCTGCCAGAAACACTAATGAAAAGTCATTGAGTTTTCTGCAGAAATAATGAGGAAAAATTATAGAGATTTTGGCAGAAGTCGAAAAGAAAAGTCATAGACTTTCTTATAAATATTCTATTTACTTAGAATTTAACATAATCAGTGTTAATTTACTGCAAAAAAAGTGCTATTTCAGTATAGTTTCATTCATTTGCACTATGATCGAAAGTTGAAAGCGTCATAAGCATTAAAAAATTTGGCAGAAACAAATTTATTTTGGTGGGGGCTAGACCCCCCCCCCCCCCCCCCCATAGCGGAACATGTGTGGTATCAGTACGTTTGAGCGGGGTTTTTAACAAAGCTGGCGCCAAAAGAGTGTAATCTCAGAAGAGGGNAAGTCAGACCTTTTATTCGGTTTATTAGGACCGCTTTAAACCGCGCAATCAATAAACGCAAAATCAAGCGGTGTCGATTTGGTCGCGGTTTCCGGCGGTGTCACAAAAACTAATAAAAGGTCTGACTTCCGCGGTGCTCCTAAGCCGTTACAGTTCGCGGTTTCTCGCACCGTGAAAAACCGCGGTTTTCATCCCAAAATTTTTTCGTGGGCGTGCAGAAACATCCTGCACCGAAACAAGAATATCCTCAGGATCAAGAAAATCCAAAATTCGATAGATCAATTCCATTGGTAGTGTATGAAGAGATAAAATAAGTTTGTTAGCCATATTGATCAATACAATGTGCCTTCGATATTTGTGTATAGAGAAACGCAATACAACGAATGTATTTAAATTGTGTTTTATGTTGATTGGTTTTCTCGTTCTCTGTATATTAACAAACAGATAGTTATGTTCGAACAGAACACGAAAAGAAAAATCAGAAATTAGTTTCTTGTATTTACCTTATTCACACATATATGAATGATATCAAGATACCTTTTGAAGTTACATATAGAAATATGCAAATAGAGGAGGTTACAATGTATTCATTGTGTTTTGTTCAATACATAACAATAATACTTCACATCAACAGAATACGAGATTTTTTGTACATTTCAATACAAAGTCGATTTTAGGATTCGAATCGAATGTTTCTATTTGATTTTTAGAAGAATTTCGAATGCGTAAACATGTTAGACAATTCACTTGAGACAGAGAAGAATGACGAATTGTCTTCTTTGATAGCTCATACTTCTCGATAAATTTCAATTCATATTCGTAGATTTTTATCAAATGTCTTATAAATAAATAAATGAATTTTTGACTGGTGCAACTGATTATATTGGAGGTTCGATTTCAACTGGTCTTCTCAATCATGAATATGCATCGAATTTATTGAGAAAATAGCAAGTCAATCGGATGTTGTTATTCATACAACTGATTCATCTGATGATCTTCTTTTGACAAAATGAATTATTTCAGGTTTAAATAAACGAACTGAAACTACGGGAAAATCTGTTATTTATGTTCATACAAGTGGTACCGGTGTTCTTGCTGAAGATGTTCATGGTCAAAATGGATCAATTACAATTTACAATGATCTTGATCTCGATGAAATGAATAATTTAAGTGAAACTCAAATACATCGAAATGTTGATTTATTTATAATGAATGCAGCACAAGTGAATCGGCTATTAAAAAGTGTTATTGCTTATGGTATAGGAACAGGTTTATTTAAACGTCAAAGTGTTGTATTTCTAAAATTAGTGGAAACCACTTTACAACATGGAAAGTTGAGATTAATTGGACCAGGTGAAGTAACATGGGATAATATTCATATCGATGATTTAGTTTATGCGTATCTTCTTCTTTTCTTATTCGGGCATTTGAGACGAAACCGAATCCATATTTAACAATTGGCGCTGAAGAAATTCTTGGAGAGAAATGTTTGAAAATATTAACAAAATTCTATACAAGAAAGATTTGATTCAATTTGCAAAAGTGACAACGCGATTCCAGAGAATGAGATCAACAATTATTTTCCTCAAGAATTTATCTGTTTTTTTTGTTCCAAATCAAATGCAATGGCTCAACGACTAAGAAAATTGAGATGGAAACCATATCGACCCAGTCTTCTTGGCACTATTCAACAAGAAATTGATATAATAATCAACAAAAACTGAATATGATTTAATAAGATGAAATGAAAGAAAGAAAATCTCTTGTTGGGTATTGATATTCTGTTAGTCAATTTATATCTTTCATAGATTTGCCATTAAAGTATTCGTTTCATTTCTCGAAGATTTCTTGAGATTACCTCTAATAAAAAATGCAATTACAGTAATTAAAATCGAGCCACATCCTACAAGCAGACAAATAAGACCACATATCGAATTAGGTTTTTCTCATTAAACATCATATACACTATCTTGTTTGTTGTAATTGCATCTATGTGTTGATTTGATCTACAAACAAAGAATGATATGAAACAGTTTATAAATACATTTATTTACAGGATATGCAGGAAGTTTATTCAATGCTGTTGAATATTTATATGAATACAATCCTATGATATGGAGGACGTTTACTAACATTACTTATTTTACTCTTCGTTATATTCTCATATTGAACAGCCCACATCGGTGTATAACATTTCATGGCTTCACATGGATTTTGGTAAATGTGCCATTGTACTACTACACACATACTTTTCACGAAAATCTTCTCTTTTTTTTCGCTCTGTGACAAAAAGTCGGATACCCATTACCGTTAAAATTATAGCTGCAGATCCAAAATAATTCTCTTGAAACCAGAATGTGCTTTTTATTTTTAAAATAAATGTCTACTTTATACAAGATCTTTTATTAACAAGTTTTTTGTTTGTTTTCTTATCGATAGAAGAAGGGCAAACAATACAATGCTTACAGTTTGTACGTTATCTTCTTCTACTAACATATTACTCATCCGAATTAAAACATCTTTTAATCAATAATTCAATGAAGGCGATTATTTCGATTAGATTATATGTGTGTTAATATTGCAAGATACTACCTGCGACAGCTAACCATGCGTACTTTCAATTTTCAGTGGTAAATTAGATCTGTAGGCTTCCCTTTCAGGTAAGGACAAAGTCTTTTTTTACGCTCGATCTTTCCATGGTGAACGTTCTTATGATTTCTCCTCTCGTAAAAAAGTATCTTTGAGTCTTAAGCCAACTCAAAATAATGTAGTTCCAACCGCGGTCTATCGCATACATCACTCAGTTTGCCTCGATCCTCAATACCCCTTCTAAACGATGTTTTATGAAGTTTTAAGCATTTTCAGAGAAAATGTCTTTTTGACCTATGATTCTGACAAACAATCAATTTTTTTCATCGGATCTTCCTTTCAGTCGAAAGAATATGAATGTTAAGAAAAGTTTATTTAGACGGCATAACATTTGAAAATACACAACAATTAAAGTTCTAGTCTCATTATAAACGTTTAGTTCGCAATTGGTATTGCTATTTTTGTTGTACACGTTGAATATGTATAGAGATGATTTGTAGAATTCTTGGGCATATCGCCATTTAATATATTTCACCTCGGTTCGTTGAAATAATATTTCAAATTGTACGTCCACATCGCCCAACAATGTTGAAAAGTTCTTTGCGAAAAACTGTTCCAGTAATTGTGTACATATAAACGTACTGGTATTAGCAAAATGTGTCAATGCACTCGCAATACGAAATGCCATACTTTCTTGAGCAAGTTGAAGTGCAGTTTTAGTAAAGTTACCGGAGAACGATGAGTAGAGTTGTCGAATAGATAATGGTAAAGTAAAAATGATGATAAGGATTACTTGAGCAAGTAACATACGTAAGAGTTGAGTCTCTGTTCGTCGAACCATCTGATTGCGATCGCGGCAACCGTTGGAATTCTAAAACGTTGCTGATGAATATTTTTCAATGTTAAATGTATTTCTGAATTTTGCGGAGTGAAAAATTTTATAATTCGAACCTACGCTGAAACGAATCGATTCAAGAAAATGTTGAATATCTTTTTCTCGTGTCATCGAAAGAGCTACTGTTTCGCAAAAATCAATTCAATTAGCATATTATAATTACATAAATGATCTTCAATACGAAAGTTGCTAAAATATCATCATCATTCACATAATGAAATTCCATCAGATCTCACAATAGATAATGAAATTTGAGGACACTAGATCGTCAACTCTTTCTTCAAAGGAGGATTTTTCTAGAGAAACTTCTGTTAGCCATTCCAAAATCCCTGTTTTTGAAAATTTGGAGTTGACAAACGTAATCTTTTCGACATTTGTCCTATTCGTTATTTTTCTTATCTATCCTTTTCTTTTTTTTGTTGTTTACTAACAAAAACATACGAGTGGGAAAAAAACCAGGCGTGTGGAATATTTATTCTGTCGTTTTTTCTGTGTTCCGACACTAACGAATACATCGGAGGGGTAGAAACACGTTTTTTTCCAACTTCATAATTATTTCTTTATTTCAAAGCAGAATTAAATGGTAAATATTCTCAAATATGACTAAAAATATTTGAGTGTTGTTTATCAAATAGGATGATTATACTGATACCAGTGATGATGAAATATTTCATCATGAAAATAAATCTAATTCGAATGAGAAAAATCCTTGTAAGTTATCTTTAAAAAGTCATATTAGCTATTATATTGTTAATATATATATACATTTTCAAGTTCCATCAGAATGTACAAATGAAGCAGATGGTATTGAATCTTTTCATCGTTGTTTCACGGAACGTTACCATAGTTGTCCAATATTTTTCTATGGTTCTCTTTCGAAAGCTTGTGAAATCGCTTTCAATTCATTGGACATCACAAAGGTTTACTTCGATACATTGTTTTCAAAGAAGTAGATCAACTTTCTTTTGATTTTAATAGCATCGTCCAGTACTCGTGTATATACACCATGAGAAAAGTGCATTAAGTAATATGTTTTGTAAACAAATCTTCTGTTCAGAGGTTTTAACTGAATTTTTAATGGAAAATTATATTGTTTGGCCATGGGATATCACTCTTCGATCGAATGAAATTCGATTATCAGCGATCTGGAAAGAACTTTTTGGTTGTCCATTATTGGCAGACTTTTCCGCAGACAAATATCCAATGTTATTTGGAATAACTCGTCGACTTCCAGGCAGAAAACTTTGGTCATTGGAAATCGAATATCAATTTACATCATTAATGAAAAGTGATAAATTAATACGAACTCAAGAAATTGTTGCTCTCGATACTTTTGTGTCTGAATTGATCACATTCAAAGAACAATGTGATCAAATCGAACAAACTTTAGTAAGTCTTTTCATTGATTTGTTCCCGAAATTGATCTTTTCTCTGTAAAAGATGTTCAATATCAACAAAGAAAACAACAATATTCGAAATGAATCGTTTTCTGCATGCTTACAACAACGTTATCAAAATTGTCCAACATTCTTTATGGGATTTCTTCAAGATGCATGTAAACTTATTCATAATCCGATATTAAACAAAGAATGTCGTCCAGTTCTCATTTATTTACACAATGATGAGAATTTTCATAGTGAAATGATCAATCCAATAAGTATTATCGATTATTTATTAGAAGATTTCATTGTTTATCCATTTGACATCACATCGGAATCGAATGAAGAAATGTAAAGAAATTTCATTTGATGAAATCGAAATTATTTTCTTGAACTTTCTTTAGAATAAAATATATGTGGATTGAATTATTCAAAACTTCTTTCTTTCCAAAATCTTATCAAAAGAAATTGTCCATCGATTTATGGAGTGATAAGAACATTTGAAGAAAGAAATCATATTTCAACAAAATATGAATATCAAGTGAAACTTTTAATCAATAGTGCAACATTAAATCTTGACAAAACATTTCTCAAACAGCTCTTCGATTTTAAAGAAAAATTTCATGAAAATGAAAAGATTTTAGTACGTTTTTTGTTTGTATTTCGAATGTCGATCATTCATTTTTCTTTAGAGTTATGATTTTCTCAAAGATATTCGTCTTCCTTTCAATATTATTCCTCAAATCAGTAAATATTTTACGTTAAATGAATTGATCACCTTGTTTTCCACCGAAATCATACCTTTATTGAATGAATTTCAAGTGAAAGTACATTTATCAGATTCATCTCATGAACTTCTGAATATGATTTATCAAAGACTTCGACCTGGTCTCATTATTTCCATAATGTTCAATACAAAATGTGTCGAAAGTGAAGCATATATGCGTTTTTGGACAATTTTTCAAAATGTTCAAAGTTTATCGTTCATTAATCCTTCGAATTCTCTCGATCTTTCTTATTTTTCACTTTGGTTTCCAAATTGGACTAATCTTTCGTTTCGATTCGATGAAAATGTCACTTGTGACTTCTTCAATAATATTCTTCATGATTTTCCGAGATCACTCAGACGATTAGA